TTCTTGGAATGGTCTCTAAATACAGGTTGGATACGTTCCAGGTCATATATTGGCTCTTGTGAACTTGTTTTAATTATTTCAGCTTCAGTCTGAACTTGCATATGAACAAATTATGGTCTGTTCCATAGTCAGCCCTGGCGGCCTGGTTTTGGCTGATGATATTGAACTTTTCCACAGATGTTTTTGTTGTTGCTAGGTGCCATTGAGTTGACTCCAACTCACAGTGACCTCATGCCAAACAGAATGAAAGACTGCCCAGTCTTGCATCATCCTAACAATTGTTAAGCTTGAGCACATTGCCACTGCCACTATATGAATCCATCTTGTTAGGGGTCTCTTTCTTTTTCACTTTACTAAGCATGATGTCTTTTTCCAAGGGCTGGTCCCTTCTGACAATAAATCCAAAGTATGAGAGACAAAGTCTCGCCAGCTTGGTCTGCAAGGAACATTCTGGTTGTATTTTTTCTAACACAGATTTGTTTGTTCTTATAGCAGTCCATGTTACTTTTAATATTCTTCTCCAACACCATTTCTAAAATGCATCAATTCTTCTATGGCCTTTACTCACTGTCCAATTTTCACATGCATATGAGGCTACTAAAAATATCATGGATTGGATTAGATGCACTTTAGTCCTCAAATTAACATTTTTGCTCTTGAACTCTTTTTAAAGCGGTTTTGTGCAACAGATTTGCCTAATGAAATGTGGCATGTTATTTCTTGACTGCTGCTTCCGTGAGTGTTGATGGTTGGATCCAAGCAAAATGAAGTCTTTGACAACTTCAAGCTTTTCTCCATTTATTATGATGTTATTTTTGCTCTAGTGGTGAGGGTTTTTGTTTTCTTTACATTGAGGTGCAACCCATATTGAAGGTTGTGGTCTTTGGTCTTCATCAGTAAGTATTTAAAGTTCTCTTCACATTCAGTAAGCAAGGTTGTATCATGAGTCTTCACAGACTGTTAGTGAGTCTTCCTCCAGTCCTAATGCCATGTTCTTCATATAATCCAGCTTCTTGAATTCTTTGCTCAGAATACAGATTGAATCAGTATGTTGAAAGAACATAAACCTGGTATACACCTTTCCTGATTTTAAACCATTCAGTGTCCCCTGGTTCTATTTGAACAACTGCCCCTTGTTCTATGTACAGATTCTACATGAACACAATGAAGTGTTTTGGAATACTTATTCTCTGCATTGTGATCCATTGCTTGTCATGATCCACAGAGATGAAAGTCTTTGCATAGTCAATAAAGAACAGATAAATGTCTTCCTGGTATTCTCTCCATCTTATATCAGAATTTGGAACTCCTAGTTCCAAGTCCTCTTTGAATCTGGCTTTAACCTCTGGCAGTTTCCCTGTCAATATAATTTGCAGCCATTTTAAAATTATCTTTAGCAAAACTTTACTGGCATGTGATATTAATGATATTGTCTCATGATTTCTGCATTCCATTGGGTCACTTCTCTTTGAAATAGGCACACAGAGGGATCTCTTCCAATCAGTTGGCCAGAGCTGTCTTCCAAACTTCTTGGCATAGGTGAATGAGTGCCTTCAGTGCTGCCTCAGTTGGTTGAAAGATTTCAATTTATATTACATCAATTCCTGGAGCCTTATTCTTTGCCAATGCCTTTAGTGTGACTTGGACTTCTTCCTTCAGTACTATTGGCTCTTGATCACATGCTACCACTTGAAGTTTTGAACATCAACCATTTCCATTTGGTTTAGTGACTTGGTGTATTTCTTCCATCTTCTCCTAATGCTTTCTGCATCAGTCAATAATTTGCCCATAGAATCCTTTAGTATTGCAAGTCAAGGCTAGAGTTTTTTTCCTCCACTTTTTCCAGTTTGAGAAATGCTGAGCATGGTATTCACTTTTGGTTTTCTAACTCCAGATCTTGCACGTTTCATTATAATCTTTTATTTTGTCATCTAGAGGTGCCCTTTGAAATTTTCTATTCAGCTCTTTTACCTCCTCATTTCTTCCATTTGCTTTAGCATCTCTATTCTGGAAAGCAAGTTTCAGAGTCACTTCTGACATCATTTTGGTCTTTTCTTTTTTTCTTCTCTTTTTAATGACCTTTTGTTTTCTTCCTATATGATGTTCTTGATGCCATCCCACAACTTTTCTGGTCTTCAATCATTATTGTCTAAAGCATCAAATCTATTTTTCAGAAGGTCTCTAAATTCACGTGGTCATATTTTGGCTCTCATGTACTTTTTTTCATTTTCTTCAACTCCAGTTAGAACTTGTATATGAACAATTAATGATCTATTCCAAAGTCTGTCTCTGGCCTTGTTTTGACTGATGATATGGAGCTTTTTCACAGTCTCTTTCCACAGATGTAGTCAATTTGATTTCTGTATATTTCATTTGTTGAAGTCCACTTGTATAATTGTCTTTTATGTTGTTTTAAAAGGTCTTTGCAATGAAGAAATCTTTGGTTTTGCTTCTATCATTGGATCTTCAGCATCATTTCTATCACCCAGGCCATGCTTTCCAATTACTGATCCTTCCTCTTTGTTTTCAACCTTTGCATTCCAATTTCCAGTTAATTATCAATGATCTTACTTGCATGTGTGATGAATTTCAGACTGAAGAGATTGGTAGAATTCTTCAATTTCATCATCAGTGACTTTAGTGATTGGTGTGTAAATATGAATAATAATGATATTGACTGGTTTTCCTTATAGGCGTATTGATATTATCCTATCAGGCAGTTTTATACTTCAAGATTGATCTTGAAATATTCTTTTTGATGATGAACGTGATGCTCTTCTTCAATTTGTTATTTCTGGCATGGTGAAACATATGATTGTCAGATTCAAAACGGCCAATACCCGTTCATTTCAGTGCACCGATGCATAGGATATTGATGTTTATGTATTCCATTTAATTTTTGACAATTTCCAAATTTTCTAAATTCATATTTCATACATTTCTTGTTCCGATTATTATAGCTGTCTCCTCAGTTTGAATTGTGCCCCATTAGCAAATGAGGGTCCCCAAAGCTTTACTTGATTCTTGTTATCACAGTCAACTCTACTTTGAGGAGGCAGCCCTTCCTTAGTTGTATTGTGAGTGCCTTCCAACCCGAGGGGCTCACTTTCTGGCACTATATCTGACAACATTCTGGTGCTCTTAATCATGTTTCAATATTCAAATATTGTGGTGCTGTGTGTTTCACTGTTATTTATAAGTTTTTTAGTGGCTTAACATTCAGAAGTAGTCAGTCTCTCCTTCTTCCTAGTCTGACTTAGTCTGGAAACTCTGCTGAAACCTGTCCACCACGGATGACCCTGCAGGTATTTAAAATACCAGTGGCATAGCTTCCAGCATCACATCAACACACAAATTGCCACAGCAAGACAAACTGACAGACTAGTGATGACATCTTAGAGTCTTGTTATTATTAAGTGCCTTGAGTCAATTCCGACTCATATCCCTCCTTTATAGGGTTTGCAAGAAGCAGCTGGTGAGTTTCAACTGTTGCTAACCCAAAACGAATCAGGCTGCTAATCTCACGGTCAGCAGTTTGAAACTACCAGCTCTTCCGTGGTAGAAAGATGAAGCTTTCTGCTCCCATAAAGATTATAGCTTCGGAAACCCTGTATAGGGTCACTATGAGTCATGGCACATAACAACAACAACAACAACCCCAAACAAGGGTTTGACACCTTGTCATTGTAGTTAATCACAGTGATGGGGAGAGATCCAATCCAAACTTAATTAACAGAAAGCCTGCAGTCTGGAGGACAGGGAGGATGATCCCTTCAAGACTGTCCTCCCCACTCACAAAAACAAGCACATTATATAGAGCAGTGTACATCAGCTAAGCATTTGATCTATTTCCCTTTACATTCCACAGTGAGGTGAGTAATAACAGAACCTTTCTCTTTATCTTGAAAAACATTTCATTCCCTGGGTCTTCATGACCCAATGACTCAGACAATTAATTATCTCCAGTGGCCTTCGGCTTAATCTAAAGGTACAAGCACATCTTTTTTTTTTTTTTCCAGAAGCCATACAATTTAAGCTCAAAACCGTTCTTCTGAGAGGAGACGGGAGAGTTTTTAGGTTATTTCCTGCAAGTCAGACACTAGAATTCTTAAAGGCAAAGATTCCATGCTTTCTGAACCACTGACCTTTGCAGTTCAAACTGACTTTATAGGTCCCGTGTTTATCTTACATCGCCATACCAAGGCAGCCACTAGTAAGTAATAAGACTCCAGTTCCATTGCAATTTTGACAACTTCCAATTTTCATCTTCATACATTCAGTGCTTTAATTTTTAATGGATGTTTGCAGCTATTTCTACTTATTTTGAGTCAATCCACATGAGCAAATGAAGGTCCTGCAAACTTTACTTCATCATTAGCATTAGGGTTAATTCTACTTTGTGGAGGCAGGTCTTCCCCAGTCATATTTTGAGTGGCTTCGAGCATTGCATCAATCTTCTGTTGCTATATATAAGGTTTTCACTGGCTTAAAAAAAATTTTTTTTTTTTTAAAGCAGTAGAACCCCAGGTCCTTCTTCTAGGTCTGTCTTAGTCTGCAAGCTCCACTGAAACCTCTCTACCATGGGTGACCATGCTGGTTTTTGAGATTTGTTGTTTAAGTGCCGTCAAGTCGGTTCCAACCCATAGCGACCCTGATCAGGGTTTCCGAGGCTGTAAATCTTGAAGGGAGCAGGAAGCCTCATCTTTCTCCCGCGAAACAGCTGGTAGTTTCAAGCTGCTGACCTTGCGGTTCACACCCCGATTCGGGTTTTTGAGATACCAGGGCATAAATTCCAGAATCATAGAAACATGCAAGCCACCATAGTACGATTAAACTTGACAAAAGAGTGGTGCAATCCGTTTGGAAAACCCTATGGAGCAATTGCACTCTGTAACACAGTGTTACCATGAGTTCATCAATACCCTTACAGCAACAAGCGGTTAAAGGTCATTTTTTTAATTCTATGTAGTTTGGTTATTCACTTTGCAACATGGAAATTTTTTTTCTCTAACATTGTCGTTTATCAAAGGAGGAACGTAACACAGTTAAAAGACTTGGCAAGTTAGCCAACTTGAGGCGTGTGGAGCACTGGCCGGTTCCAGGAACGCGAGGTCAGGGCAGTCCACCCCAGCAGCACAAGCCTCAGGCTCAGGACCCACTGGCCTCAACCCAGGAGTCAGACCCTGGTGGCAGCTCGGCAAGCTCAGCGATTCAGGCCCCGCAGCGCACACGCTCCAGGGCCAATCAGCGCTCGGAGGCGTTCCCAGGCTTCCTCTATTCCCCGCCCCGTCAGAGGCTCCTAACGGGAGACTACATGCGCCAGCTTGTGACCTGTGACCTGACACCCGGAAGTGGTTGTCCTGTAGGAAGCGGGCGGCCCTGAGAGGGAGGGACTTGAGACGCTCACGCGCGGACCTCTCATTCCATTCCTCTCACCTTGCGGACCGCTGCACCTGTGGGAAAAGTGGGGCTCGGTCCGCGGGGAGCTGCACCAATGGCTTCCGTGCTGTCCTACGAGAGCCTGGTCCACGCCGTTGCCGGAGCCGTGGTGAGGCGGGCTCTTCACGTCCGGGTGTGGGGCTTCTCCAGGGCCAGTCGTGCTAGGGGGGCGGAGGGGAGAGGTCGGCTGTCGGGACGGAGAAATGGGACTTGGGCGGAAAGTTGCTAGAAGAATGAGTAGGGGTGAGGGCCGATACTCGCCCCCGGTTTTCGCCACCGCTTTGGCCTCTTGGGGACTATCTGAGATGCAGACGGCGGTGGTCACCCATACCAGAGGGGGGGTCGTGAAGAAGAGAAGCCTGTTTTCTCGGCCTTCTAAATGTGAAGGCCATTCACCTCCTGCCCCCATTCTTCCTCCCCGCCGCATCGCTGAACTGCAGAACCTCGGTGTGAAGTTGTGTTGCTTAATCATCTGCAAATTTCACAGACTTAGTGCGGGCAGTGCCTAGTACTGAAGACCTTGTCAGAGAGATAGGTCTCCCTCACCTCTTTAATGAGGTTTCTGTCTATGGAAAGGTGTGGTGTGCTGCTGGAAGTCGCAGTTTCATTTGACACTGTCGACGCACCCCTTCTCCCCCCTTTTCTGTGAAACATTCTACTTTTGGCTTGGGTCACTTTTCTACTTCATCTCGTCCTTTTAACTGCCCTCTCTCAACGCCCTTACTAGCTGTCAGCGTGCATCCTGAGCAGTTGGAATCACAGACATCAGAAGATCATCATTAAACCCTCTCTTTTTTGCATCCCCCCAAATAAAAAACTTTCTTGAGATATCTTGTTTTGCATAGACTCATGCAGATTGAACCCCAATCCTATAATTTGTCAGGCAGACTGTAAGCCTCACTTTCCTAATCTGTAAAGTAGAAATAATGAAACCTACTTCGAAGAGTTATTGGGATCACTGAGTTGGTGAAGATTTGGTACATTCATATCAGCTGTGCCAAAGGCACTGAGACGGGCTCTTGCTTGACAGCCCTTTAGGATGGACAAGGAGGCAGGTGTGTCTGGAGTGGAGGGAACAAGAATGTTTATGTATATTTCAGTGGACCAAATTGTGCCAGGCTTTAACTCTGAGTGGGAGAGAGAGACCATGGAATGATCGAATTACATTTGAAAATCGATTTACTTTGGCTCCTCTGCTGAGAATAGATTATCAGGGGAACAAGGGCCAGCTTGGTAGAAGGGAAGGCGGTAAGAAGCGATCACTAACTTGGAATGTATTATAAGATAGAGTTACAAGGAGTTGATGGTGAATTCGATGAGAGGTATCACAAAATGAGGGTTGGTTGACTCAGAGTTTTTTGACTCGAGGCTCTGGAAAAATAAAACCATAAAACCAAACACATTGCTATTGAGCCAGTTCTGACTCACAGCAACTTTATAGGACAAAGTAGAACAGTAAGGTTTACTTGGAAAGGTTTCCAAGGCTGTTTGCTTTACAGGAGCAGACTGCCTCATCTTTTTCCCAACAGAGCAGGCTGGTCTGTTTGAAATGTCGACTGTTCACTTAGCAGCAGTGTTTAAACACTGCACCTCCAGGGCTACTTGTGGAAGAATAGTGTTCACCTTTCCTGAGATGGTGAAGTCTGAAGGGGCAGGTTTTAGGGGAAAGATGAGTTTGGACTTGTTGAGTTTTAAATGCCTAAGAGTAGTTATGAGACTAGAGGTGTGCTCACCAGGGAAGTGAATTTGGATTCAAAGAAGAGACTCAAAGCTGACATGGAGAGATTGGGGAAATGAGATCGCAAAGAAAACTAAGCAGGGGCCAGTCAGGTAGGAGGAAAATTGAGAGAGTGTGGTGTTCTGAAAGCCATATGAAAAAGTGTTTTCGGGAACATAATGAGACCAGCAAGATCAGATGCTGCTGATGAGTCAAATAAAATGATGACTAAGAATTAGCCATTAGATTTATCAACACGGAGGTCATTGTGGAGTCTGTTCCAACTCATAATGACCCTGCATAGGGTTTCTGAGGAGTGACTGGTAGATTTGAACTTCTGACCTTGTAGTTAGTAATCCAGTGCTGGTCCTACAGCTCCTCACCAGGAGTTCATAATACAATGGGGAGCAATCCGTCATCAGAGTCCTGGTGTGCTGTAGGATAAGCACTCAACTGCAAGGTCGGTTTGAACCACAAGGAAGGTGGCTCAAACCTACCAGTCATTTCCTACAGGAAACTCTGTACCAGGGTCTCTATGAGTCAGAACCAATTTTGTGGCACTTAACAACAACAACATGCTGTCAGTGTATAGTCCACACACAGGCATACCACGAAACTTGCATTTCATAATGTTCTTTTCATGTAGCTTGCATTCTCCTTGGGAGACTTGGACAGTAACTGTGTAAACAAAGAAGTAAATAAAATAATTTTATATAGTGTTAAGTTCTGTAAGATATAAAATGTTAAGCGCTGTAATGTCAGTTTGCAGTGCCGCCGACCTTTTGTTTAGAATTCCAGTGCTGATCCTACAGTGCCACACCAGAAATATAATAGGGGTTGGCAAACTTTTTCTACAGAGGACCAGATGGTAAATAATGTAGGTTTTGTGTAAGGTCTCTGTCACATTCCACACTGATGGACTTTTCTGGGTTCCGTCATACTACTTACAGAAATAGGTGGTGGGTTGGATTTGGCCATGGGCTGACCACTGCTAAAGCCTAGAGGTGATACACACATCTAAAGACATTTTTTTTTCCCCTTCCGGTGCTTGTTGCTTATTTTTTGTTATTAAAATTCTGCTTGAAATCATTGTTAAGTGCCATCAAGTCAGTTCAGATTCAAAGTGACCCTGTTAAGTGTTTCCAAGGAGCGGCTGGTAGATTTGAGTCACTACTGACCTTGTGATTAGCAGTGCTAGACCAAGACTCTTGCTTGAAATACTGGCAATCTGAATATACTGGTTTTTTCTTTCTCTCATAAGTTATTTTAGCTATATGATACCTCCCATATAATATAAGCTTTATTATACAGCCAGTTCCAGGGTTGTGAACATTCCTAAGTGTGTCTTTGAATTTGTAGGTAATATGGATCAGGTGTATACAGTTCTTATTTGGCCTTACTTTGGAATTAACTCAACAGCAGTGGGTTTAGTTCAAGAAAAGGCTCTAAGCCTTGTCAGCGATTTAAAACCACAAGTTTCATCAGATGAATGTAGTTGTGATGAATTTGTTGCTAGTAGGGTTTGAGGTTCTTGTGTGGCACTGTAGGATAAGCACTGGACCATAAGCTTGAACTGCAGGGTCGCTGGTTCAAGCTCATTAGCCGCTCCTCTGAAACCCTATACAGGGTTGCTATGAGTCAGAATCGACACGATGGCACTTAATAACAATAACAAAGAGCAACTGGAGTCCTGGTGTGGTGCTGTAAACTGAAAGGTTGGTTTGAGGTGAGATTGGAGGTTCAAGCTCACCAGCTGTTCCTTGGAAACTCTGTATAGGGTTGCTGTGAGTCGGAACAAACTCAACAGCACTTAACAACAAAGAACAAGTAGGAGTTGGGCTTTCCTAACCCAGGGACTGCCTGTATTCATTATCTCCAGCAATTAATGTTATTGTTAAGTGCCGTCGAGTCGGTTCCGACCCATAGCCACCCTGTATAGGGTTTCCAAAGAGCGGCTGGTGAGCTTGAACCAGTCTTTGCAGTCTGACACATTAACCCACAGCGCCACCCCAGGACTCCAGGAATTAAAATAAACAAACATGCTTTTATAAGAATTTTTTTTTTTTTTTGCTTTTGCTTTTAGGGCAGTGCTTTTCTTACCTGGAACTGAGACAGAAGTTGCTTTGTGTTCATTTGTCCTTTTGAACTAACTCGCCAAAGAGCGAATCTCAAATTCTTTTTGCAAACCTCTTTATTAAGAGTTAATGTTACAACATGGGTCCTACTTTTTTTGGTTGCTGTCAGAGGAAAACATTGCACCACAAAAATAAATCTATAGTCCACGAGAGATGTGTTATTGCTTTTAATAGCATAATATTGAAGTGGGAGCTGGTGTTTACTTAAATATCCAAATGATGGTGTTCATAAAACAAGATCCTGCTTGTTGTTATTGTTAAGGGCCATCAAGTCAATTCTGACCCATAACGACCCGGTGTAGGGTTTCCAAGGAGCAGCTGGTAAGCTTGAACCACCAACCTTGCAGTTCAAACGACTTTGAAGCCTGATGCATTTGCCCACAGCGCCACACCAGGATTCTGGAGAGTTGGCTTAGTTAGTGAGGGGTTAAAAGTTTAAGAGCCCTTGAGTTGGGCTGACTGGGTTAAAATCCTGACTGTGCCTTTCACTGGCTGTGTGACCTTGAGGTAAACTCCGAGGCTGCCTGGAGTGTTTGCTTCTACCCAGAGGATTGTTGGGTCATTGTAAGATCTAAGATGTTGATTTACCAACTTTTGAATTGATGTTCTGTTTGCTTACTCACCTCCTTCCAAGTTCTACACCCTCTCACTAAGTATGCACACACATGTAGCAAGTTAAGTGCTTTTTGGTATTGGTAATTGTAGATAATCCTCTCCAGAGCCTCAGAACCAGGATTGCACCTCCTCAGGAGAATGTCTGCAGTTCATGACTATTATAATGGGGGCTTCAGAAAGTTGGTGTCAAAGTGGATTTGAAAGATAATGGAATTTTCCTACAAACTTTTTGAAGCCCCCTCGTATAAAGTATTCTCAGAACTTTAAGTACAACTAGATTTATAATTTATTTTTTTGGTTTTCATTTTGAAAGATACTTTTTATTTGTAGAAATGGGCATTTGTAATTTAAAAGGCATTTCCTTAGTCTAGAATTTAAAAAGTGCTGTTTGTTGGAATTGCCTAGGGGGGTTTGGACACTGAACTAGACTTTGGAATTGTAATGCTACTGACTAATCAGTAACTTTTAAGAACTCCGCCCCCCAACTGATTATTTAAAATTTTTTGTTTCTTTGCATAGTTTATATTTAAAAGAATTACATATCGACAGCCATTGCAGTACATTGAGCTCCATAGAGACAGCGCCGGGCCAGGCAGAGCCGGACGGCACTGGGCGGACTCTGTGCCTCACGGACAGAAAAAA